AAAATTAAAAAAAAAAAAAAAGTTACCAGTATGAAAAAACATACAGCAGCGTGCAAGGTCAACCAATATGATTAGCAAAAAAAAATTAGGTGATTAAATAAATAATTATATGACTAAATAAATAATTCTAGACATGCAATTTGCATGCAAAAGTTATAAAAGCTATCACTCCTTGTTCCTGGAGGATCTGTCCTTCCTGTGGCCGCCAAGAATACGAGAAATCTGAAGGCCTCGGCTGAAGGCTTGGTTGAACAGCATCCGGGTTTGGAACTCAGAAACGAACGGGAACCAAGCAAGAAAAGCCACCGGAGTAAATAGAAGCAAACCCATCACGATTTCAAAGCCTCGTGCAAGAGTTCGAACCGAACCCCATATTCCAGCTCGTTCAACCAAAGGCTTACATGCTTGTGCAATCTGTAGGTCAAAATTTGTTGAGTTTTAATATTATTATTATTATTATTTTTTTTGGATATTGAGTCGAAAATTGGAGTTATAGAGTTGAAACAAAGAAAAGATTAAAATGTAGTTTTGTAGCCTTTGAATACATACCAGAAGTAAACCCCAACCTGTGGGCATGAAAGCGAGTATGCAGATGAAAATATCCCGAGGAGATAGACGTGCGAAAGCAATCAAAATGGCGAGGATCGACACGAATGTGACAAAGATTAAACCTTTGATCAGTCGGAAAACAAGTTGGAAATTTGCGCTGAATTTCCTTCGCCCAACAGAAATTGTCTGGAGAGAGACAGAAAGAGAAATTTATCAGAAAAATCCCAATATTTCTTTTTCCAATATGGTAGGATTTAGAAGCTAGAAATGTTTTCAAGGAATTAAACATAGAATGGATAAGGAAAATTAGGACCATATATACATTGTCGGTTGTCTCTATTATTGAGTTATTATTTAGAGAAATGTCATACACTGTAAAATTATTAAAATTGATGACAGAAATATATATAATTATATATTATACAAATAAAATTAATAAAAAAGTATACAAATAATTAAACCGATTCGACCATTGGTCCGACCAGTGAATCACTGAACCAGTAGCTACACCAGTTCGGGTTTTCAGAACCATGATTATGACAGAGAAATGAAAAACGGAGTCTAGAACAGGGAAGGCAAGGCAACCCGAGTTATATAACACAACACATTATGCGACTCAACTAGTTTCTCCAAATAAATAACAAAAAATCGAGAAAAAAAGAGTTAAAAAATAAATATATATTCATAACTAAATAAAAAGGAAATTAGTCTCACCTTCATGACAAAAAGAATCAGAAGTATCACCAGCCATGATATGCCATATACCTGTCATAGATACAAGGCAGCAGATACGAACTTCAAAAATCATTTAAAGAACAAAAAAGGAACAAAGCCTTTTAAACTTTCACAAACATGCTCTTGAAGGCTTGAACTACTTTCACAATTTCGACCTCGAACTACAAATGGTGGGAAAAATTTCGAAGAAAAAAAATTGTTTACCAAAACGCTCCTCGTATGCCTTGTGATATGCAAGTGATACACTAGCCCATACTGATAGACGAAAAATCTGAGTGCTAACACAACCTCAGCCACAATCCCGCGCTTCCCCGAGTGGCGAAGGTGTTCCCCTTATTCCTCCCACCACGATTCCCAGCTCTTCTCCGGCGGGACCCCTATGCCCCCTCTGTTCCCGATCCACTTGTTCCACTCCGTCCAATCATCCACAATCTTCCCCCACTCGAATCCAGACGGGTTGAAAAGAAAAGGCGCAAAAAGCCATGTCCCCACCATAAACCACATGGACACCATAATAATCACATACGCAACCGTATTCCTGTACGAAGTCCCAAATATCTGATACACGAGAAGGAATATCATGAGTTCGAGCGCCTTCACAAAGTGGCTTCGTGAGTAGAGCCGATAGTTCTCGGCAAACTTCGCATGGAACACGACAAAACCACGGCCCGTGGCCCGGTATTTAGCGCCGCCATGGAGCAACGTGCGACCGTAGTAGTGGGTTTTTGTGCCGAGGGAGAAGGTGAAGAAAACGGGAGCCAGCTGGAGCTGCATGAGGACGAATTCGCATAGTGCGGCCCCGAAGCCTTTTTCGAGCCCGATCTCCATCATCATCGGGAGGGCCATGAGAAATCCGATCTGGACGAAGGATTGGGAGGCGAGGGTGACTTCTAGAGGTTTGTTCTGCCGGATTCCGGGCTGGCTGCTCAGGGTCTTCTCGATGCCGCTGAGGACAAGGTAGAGGCGGCCGTACAGGAATATGTACACAGTGAGGACAGTTATCTGAAAAAAACAAGATAAAACAAAAGGTAATGAGAGTACCCATGGATCATTGGGATTTAATAAAAATGGGATTTTTTGCGAAGGATATTAATTGGTAAGCTCGCTGTTGACTCGAGAACATGGAAGAAAATAGATGTTAAGAAGGTCTTGGAAAATTTCTTTCTGATGGATAATGAGAATGAAAATGAAAATCATGGGAGAAGAAAAAAATATTATTTTTTTTTCTTTTTCTTTGCGTTGTGCATGAGATGAAATGAAAACATAAACAAACACTGGTTTTGATTGATAAGAATGGTTAGTTTTAAGTTATATATATATACTAGAATTAGAGGGTTTACTGCTTTGAAGCTCGTTTGAAAGCATAAAGACATGTAGACGTTTTTTCACTTACCAAGGTACTGACGTAGAAACCAATTGTGGTGAAATAGCATGATAGCATCCGAAAGAAGTCGAAACGATGCCCCAGGCGATATAAATCGCGACTCAAAGTCTGTTCCCCATTACCATTGGCTATCTTGGCCTCAAACAGAGAAATCTGGTTAAGGCCCACATCTCTTCCTTTACCCACTTGTATGTACTCGTGGTGGGTCACATTGCCCTCACGAAGTGTAGAATTAAAGCCTACGTTTTTTACGTATACAGTTACGTCAGAGTTGAGTAATTAACACAAAGAATGAAATAAAATGTATAATTGAAAGAGTATAATACGAGGGTATGTTGACATATACCAGCAAATATGTCCTCACTCAAGTTGATAACCTTGGATGCTTTACTCACCCCTCCTCTTGTGAGGTGAAATAGTCGATCAAAAACATCCGGATGGCCGTAATGAAACCGGACCCTGTAAAGAGAGAAATCAATGTGCAACAACATGTGCTACATTAATTAATAGGCAAAAAGAAACAACTGCATAAAATTAATCAAACATACACACCGAAGTTCTCAAATCAAAAAAGAAACAATCAGAATTGTTAGGTGTTATGTCCACATTGACTAGTTACTGTGTTGTTGTGTATAAGTGTGTTCGGAACCCTCTCTCTTTGAGCTAGCTTTTGGCCATGAGTTCTACCTAGGCTCATTTATCAAAAGTAATTTTATAAATGAGAATTAAAAGAAATATTAAAAAAAAATGTCATAAGCCATATCAAATATGAAAAACCGAAGAGATCGTTGCAGAAAATTGCATTCAAACATAGTAAAAGCTTATACTTCATTAGTGATAAGCCAAGTTCCGAAATAACGATGGAATGAATAAGAAAGGAGGTTCATGGCAAATGGTAGAACTTACTTAAGAGGGTTGGCAAACAATCTCTGACAAATAGTCACAAAACTTGTCTCTTGATTCGACATAAACCAGGCAAGAGAAGAAACGCTACAATACATTGTAGAGAATATTATATCAAGTGGATGAATAAACAACATTTTCATCTTAAAAAATACGAATAAAATTTAGAGATATTGTAAACCTTCCAGTAAAGATATGTTCCCTCAAACCAAGAATTGATGGATGCCGAACGTCATGCCTTTTAAGAAATTCTTGATGCAAGTTTCTCATTTTCAGGGCCTCTTCCATGTAATTGTCCTACAATCGCATTAGTCGGTTAAGTTAACTCTTCTTAAGTAAATGAAAATTCAAAGCCAAATGTGCCTTGGCTTATTTACCTGATTCATATCAATTGTTTGCAAGCCTTCCCCACGTGTGAAAATAATGGCGTGATTCTGGTTTTCAGGTTTCCCTTCACCCAAGATAGCAGGCCCCGGAAGTTTTATGCGATATATTACCTGCAAAAAGGCATTTTTAAAAGTAGTCCTAATATAATGGTAACTAATATAGCCCAATAACTACATAAACTATCCTTGTACTTTAAAATCACAAACAACTCCTGGATAATGTTTTCTAAAAGTTAAGCTTAATATTTTTTCAATTAAATTCAACCTCAAGGCTACTTTTTAGTTATCCCATCGTATAATTCAACAGGTAATAGTAGTTAAATTCTCAAATATCAGTGTAACCTTAGTAATTAGTTGGCTTCAGTTTCATTTCCCTTTTTACCTGGTCCAGATTCTGTCCTGGCTCTGACGAGTTCGACTTAGGTAGAGCAGCCTTGACAAGAGTCGAATAGTAAACCTTATCATTAACTTTCTTGGACTTGTCTTTATTTAGCTCTTCAACTTCGTCTATATAAGCCACTCTAAGAGATGGATAACTGTCACAAAGAAAACAATCACAAACTATGGATCGCAATAATACAAAATTATTGTTAAGGAAGGAAAAAACAGCTTTATAAGCAGTGTTACAAAACTCCTTACGTGGTCATAAGTCTCAATATATCTTGAGCACGAGGGTCGTCGGATCGTTTTTGAATACCGTATAACTGACAGGACACGACATACGTAAACTTTATATCTGAAACTGCTTGGCATTGTGTCCAAAGTGACCTCTCGCCCCTCATCTGGTCCTCGTTCAGCTCGATAGCCTTATAGCCTTCCATCAAATCTATTTATTTTATTTATTTTATTTATTTTTTTAAAAATAGCGTTATTAAAATATGTACAAGGTACTCATTTGAATAATCAAATGATAAATGTAGGATAAAATTACCATCATCCTTGGCCATATCAAGGAATGCTTGAATTTCTAAGGCTTTGCGGTAGTACATCATTCCTCGTACTATGTCACAAAACAAGAAGATTAAAAGAAATACTCCCTATCTATCAGTGACATGAAAAATACAATCAAGATATGAGGAAAAACTTTTATTTTTTTCCTTGTAACTGATCAAGTATGCAAGAATGATTTGATCGTCATGTTTTAGTCAGAAATGAGGAAATTTTTATTTAATTTTTTTTTTTTGGTTTTATTTAGAATACATAATAGACGTCCCAATTCCTTTACCGGTCACAATTTGTCATACTCAACACGTTCGTATATTCATACCAGTTCTTGTCAATGTCTGGCCCCTGTATGATGCCCAAAGGCGTAGCTGCTCTTCTAATTCATCGGATCCTCTAAGCTCTTCTTCACTCAAACACTTGACACGCTCCAGGAAATTATTCCATTCATCTGCATCACATAAGTTTGTAAGGTAGGTCGAAAGTGGATTATAATATGATGTGCATGTCCACCTGAAGCACAAACCTGGGAAAATTTTCTGTAAGTAAAAGAGAATGGAAACACCGTCTTCATTTGGCACTTCTAGCTCAGGCAATGAGAAGAGAACCTCCTCCGTGTAATACGGAGTCAAAACACTACGTAGAAAAAGCAAAATTTAAAATCCACAAGAAAAACAAAACAATATAAAAAGACTCGTGCCATACATTAGACTTAAAAAGAGAATTATGGAAAAAAAAAAGAAACTTGAACACAGAGAGTTTAGTGGGGGAGTGGCAGAAAAACACATAGTTCAAGGACTAAAGTGCGACAAAAAGAAGTTTAGTGGGGGCAAAGTGTAAAACATCTGAGGATTCATTGAAATTTACTAAATACTAAAATAATATGATCTTTGTTCACAGGCAAAGCAAAGTAAAACATGCAGCTGATGGCATAACGTGCAATCTCTCACAAGAAGAAAAATTTAGTAGCAAATTGCAAATAATTGCATAGGGTGGGTGGTTTAAGATGATTTACTCAAAATAGAACCAAATGCATAAGGAAAACTACTCAGGAGAAAGACAACATATTTCGGACTTTAGGAGCCGAAGGCATGTCCATGAATAAAGAATTGGAGAAAAAAGAAATACGCCTTCTTGCTTCAAGGTTTGATGGTACATCCATGGCAGAGTCCTTAACTGTCAGCAACAAATACAACCTCTTGACCTGTTGAAAAGGTGATATTCTGACAGTTAACTAATGCAGATGATCAAGTTTTTTTATATCGTGACAATTTTGCTGTTGAATTTACCACCTTCTCTTTCCAAGCTTCTGAATCGGGAATAGGAAATTTGATTGCCCCAGCTGATGCAAACAACTGATATTGTTGATCAAAAGGCACATTTCCTTCCTGGCCCAGTCCACCGTTAATCGAGTCTAATAAGCTGTAAGGAAAAAGTGAACTTGGATAAGAATACACGACACAACAGCGTCCATGTCACTATTCAAGAAAAACGATAACTACAAATACTTTTACATTTGGAGTAAATGCAAAGAACTTGGTTGTTTTTCAAATTTACAAACAGTCCCTTGACATTTTTTTCTCTGTAACAGCATCTGTGCTTACTGACGGGATAATTTCAGCTATGCTTTAATTTATTTATTTGTACTTCTTTTTGGGGTACTCTAAAAGATAAAGTAGCTTTTTCTTTGTAACAAACCGAAAATTATATTTATTTAAAAAAAAAAAAAGAAGAAATAATCAAAACAACCACAAACTACAGCTTTACTTGAAAATGTGATCTTCCATCATTATATCTCTGGTAACAACTTCCAGCATATCCTGGAAAAGAATCACAACTTGATCCCTGTGCTCCAGCTTATTGTCGAGCTGCGCAAAATTTCACATCGCTAAAGATAAAGAATAAACCTACATCTATCTATGAAATGATGTAACAGAGAAGAAGATACCAAGTACTTGACAAGCTCAACAAAAAGATTGTAAAGACTCGGAAGAGCATTGAGCTTGTATTCAGCTAACAGATCATCCTCCACTATGTGTTTGTCAACTTCAGTAAAAATGTATTCAATGACTCTGCCAAAATAATAATAATAATAATAAAATAAAATAAAATAAAAAATAAAGAAATATGTTTGAGATCAAATTGCGATCGATGAAAAACTAAAAACAAATAACTTACTCTTTCTCCCGTTTTCCACGAACCAACAGTTTGACGATGTTCCTAAATGAAGCATAGCACTCACAGACAGCAGAGTACATGTAATCATCAGACTTAATCCGTCTTCTCAGCTCACTATCTTTTGTCTTTAGCCATATCCACTGCTGAAACAAATCAGCCAGAGATCTATCAGTAATGGAAAAGAGACAAAGGCTATATCTTTAGCTCCACACCTCAAACCTCATCCTCATACATTAGATCTATGAACTGATGTTTAATAGGAGAAGGTGAATTGACTCGACACTTCCTTTTGTAGTACATATAAAATTTTTGACGATGAGATACATTGTCGAAATTTTTTCACTAGCTTAAACAATCCCGAACATCAAGAAACATGTGTCTCCTTGCTTAAAATTGAAACACTTTCACATAATAGAAATGACGAATGAAACTACGAATCCTTGGTAATGAATTAAAAAAGAGAGAGAGAGAGAGAGAGAGAGAGAGAGAGAGATAGATAGATAGAAAGAGAAACAAATAATCACAATCTGTTTCTTGGAAAAAAATACCAACTAATTACATTAAAAAAAAAAGATTTGAGACTAAACCTTGCTGGCAAGCAGAAAAGGAGGCCATTGTATTATCTCCAAATCACGATTAGCACAATACGGAACAAGCAGCAGATCCATTTCCCTACAATAAGCAAGTTGAGGAGTCGAATAAAATATTTAAATAGAGTTTCATCTTCCAAGTCATGAGGAAAAAAATATGAAATCAATTGAAAGAGATGATGAACAACATTTTCAGACTAAGAATCACCTGTTACTTATAAGATCCTCCTCTCTGAAACTCGTGATTATTTTGTTCCACAACTGTGAAAATCTTGCAGCCTCTTTCTCTTTACTTGATGGAATCTTAGCAAGATGTCACAGCGAACTATCAGTCTCACTTATGTTCATGCACTACTCAATATCTATACATTAGTAAATTGGAATTATAAATAGAGGTTACCACTTCAAACTTGCGTGCAAATATAGCCCTCAGTCCTTTCTTTTTTACCGTCTCGTTTTTCTCCTCTGGGATTAAGCAAGCATTAAAAGCACCAGGCAACGATTGAAATCTTGACCTAAGCATTCCCAGTGTTCTGATCTGAGAAGATTGACATAAACAAAGATAACATACAAAGTTAACCCCATAGACATCAGTTATCTTTTGCCATATAAGAAATTATGGACATTACTTAGTGATAGAATCCAGTTCAAACAGTCATCACCAAAACTCCGCATAATAACTAATAAAAGAACCAGCCGTTTATCATGTTTAATACAATAGACAGAATTAAGCTGACCTCTCCAAGCCGACGAAAAGCGCCATATACACCTCCAAACAATGTAGAAAATATAGCATACCAGATCTGTGCATCCATGAAGTAGACCTAAAATAGAAAAGAAAAATAGACAACAGTTTTCTCTAATTAAATGAAGAAAATTTTCAATGCAACTTTGTTGAAGATACGACATCATCCTTACTAAAATAACTGGTGCCCAGATTACAACCACGACACCAATGTTGTTCTTAGTTGCCACAAATAATAATAAAATTAAAATTATTACAGTCAATAGATAGTAGGTAAAGATAATCTTATATGATGATCACACATGTGTTTTCTTCATGTGCTTGGTGTTTCCAGACAGTTGACTACCTTGAGGAAAAAACTCATGCCAATGGTAACTTGTTACATGAGCGCCCATGATAGTTCTCGTTGGACCCACCAAAGGTTTTATCTGCCGATTGAAACATTTGACCAGTTAAAAATACCACATGCTCATCATGATCACTTCATGTTTAGTAATTCACTAATTAGTATATATAGATATCAAACAAAATGCATGCATCAAAATTGTACAAGGATTTTATTACATGTAATAAAGAATGATATTCTGGAAAAACTAGAAGATTTTTTAATATCAAACTGAAATAATATAGCAAATACGATTCATAATTGTGAGCAACACGAGATAGGTTAGAAAAGATAATAAATAAATGGGAAAGACCGGCGGCACCTCTATGTAGAAACTGAAAGCCAACTTCGTAACGAGGAGAAGCACCCAGAATAATGTGTATCTGAGAATTTAAAAGGAAATGTATTAACAAATATTTCTCAAAAGATGATCAAACAAAAACTTTGACCTTGGTATAGCTTACTTGAAGAGACAAAATGCACTCTCATGCATTCCCCTTCCTACATACAGACGAGGCTGAAAAAGATAAACAAATTACTAAACCAAATTTCTTATCGATCACGACATATATAATCTAAAAAAACAAAAAACCCACTGCACACCTGAGACCACCACATCATTAGCATCACTATCTTGTAATTGGAGCTCTCGAGAAAACGGCGGATGAAGGGGAAAAGAAACAAGATGGCAGCAAGTAAATTTGGTGACAGGTAAACAACGACGGCCAGGATGAACAGAGAAGGGGCACTCGAGCTATGCCCGAACCAGGTTTTAATAGTTTGAAGAAAACCAGGTGGACTACCTTTCCATGAATAAGCATAGGTAACAGGTAAGATGATCACCCAAGCAGCAGCCACCAAAACCTTCAGAACGTATCGTAACTTGACATGGAAAGACATGCTCCTTCTAGCTTGCCAGTTCAGGATTAAGTCAAGGATGGCTGCATTGTTATTGTTGCACTTGTGAAATGGATATATAAAGAAATGGCCAATTAAAAGCATAGGGATACTTGGAGAAGCGTGTCTTGGCATTTTGTTTCATTACAACCAAAATCAATTTTATTTAATATAAAAACCACCTCACCGAAAAATTTATCTTTAGAGGGGTGCATTTTGTAAAACTAGAGGGTATGTGTAGTTTTGGAAGGCAACTAGCATTTTCTGTGACGAGGACTTGCTAACCTTTTTGTTATTTTTGTTGTTGTTCACCATGTAAAAATATCCAAATAACACGAAGAGAATATGAGAAACATTATTGAGATCTCCGGGAAAGTGAAAAATTTTGGTGTGGTATAATGTTGCCAAAGGAATTTTATCATGTGTATGCACCTAAGCTAAACTATTCCAAAACAGTCCAATTTCATTTCCAAAAGTCAATTAAATAGTTTCATAGGAAATAAAGGGTAATCATATACATATTATGGTTTTGCTCTCACTATTTTGAAAAAGTTATGCCATCACGGAAGAGAAATACGGGAACATAATATAAACCACTTAACAAAATTATATGTACAGGACTAATACATCTTATTATCATGATTGCATAAGATCCGAAAAATAACACAACAAAGAACCCCAGGAAAAATAGCAGTTCCTAACAACAAATCATAAGAATTTGGCATTACCTTGTCCAAGTTTCAAAATTGCAGCAGTTATAAAGATGCTCAGTACTTTCTTGAAAACGTCAGAATCAAAAATTGCACTCGGCTGTCCAGACCCATTCCAAGCAACAATAGTCATGGCCTTGATATAACAGACAACAATATCCCAATTGTCAATGTTGAAAAAAAATAATATAAGTAACTGCTACTCAAATACAGAGGTTAAGTGAGAAAGAACACCTACCTGTAAACAAAGTATGAAGAAACTCCACATCCTATCAAAGCTTCTAAATATATGCCAATATGAACGGATCTCAACGAAATTAGCTTTCCCCACCCACCGATGTCTAGTAGGCCTTATTTCCTATTTTACATCACATAAAATCACATTCAGTTATAATAGAAAAAGTAACTATACTAAGGATCTTATATAATACGTATTCTAACTTTAATTTACAACTATAACAAAACGAGGAATAGTTAAAGTGACATGAGCTTACTCCATCTCTTTCACTCCAAAGCTGGTCAACAGTCTTACAGAAAAAATCAGCATCAGCACGCATGGGCCAACCCAAACGAAAACAACTTACAGACCTACATTTTTTATTAAAAAAAAAAATGAGAAACATACATAATCCGAAACAAGGGGTAAAAACATCTCTCTTTTTTAAGATAACAGAAAAATATTGTCATATAAAAACATTGTTTTACCAAAAGTACTCATTTAAATCATCATAATTTCTCCACTGTGAGTGTTTTGATCTCCCTTGTTTGCTCCTTGCAGCTTCCTGAACATTAAAAGGATCAACTTGAGTTAAATGAATACAAAAGAGTATCAACATGCAAAAAATAAAAATTAAAAAAAAAAAGATTTTTAGACAACATGGGGTATACCTGAGCAATCACTTCATAAATTGGGGTAACAACTTTTCTAAGGAACGCTTCTTCTTCTCCTCCATAAGCTGGCTTCACATTTTCACCAGTCATTGGGCTGACATTTCCAGCAAGCATACCATAAAGCTCAAAAGCCATCTGTAAAGGAAAAAAAAAAAGGAAAGATAGAAAAAGCTCAAAAACTATTCTCAGAATCCGATTAATGAATGACTTGTTTCCTCTGAGGAACAGAAAATGCAAAGATCACTCTACAGTGAAACGTAAAAAAGAAAAAATGAAAAAGTTTTTCAAAATCAATTCAGATCATCAGAAGGCAAGCAACTAGAAAAATAAATATTTATAACTATGTAACAGTTCTATAGTAGTATTACTACTGATATCTCCAAATATCCACCAAAATCAACAAAAAAAAGCCAGTATAAATAGAAAAACTCCCGTAAACATTACAAACCAATAAGCAGTTCATATGTGTCTGTCTCCCAAGTCCCATATAAAAGGATGTCCAATAAATAATCAAGATTTTGATGCTCTCACAAAGCTTGATATCAAAGCTTGTGGTCAATGAATAATGCACCTAAGCTTTAATCCACGTAAAGGTATAAGAATGTGAAAGCTCACATGATGATAGATATAGCAGAGGCACTCTGGCATGAATCTTATATTTGCAGCTTCACCCCATATAAGAAGATAAAGACCCATATATAACAATTTTCTCTGTTGCACTTCCTGTTGTATAGTGGGTAACCTGCAATTCGAAATATATCGCAAGTGAATAATAAAGACAATGTTCCCACTCCAGAAACAAAGATAGATGATCTAATATACAGGTCAGAAATTTCATGAATTAGAATCCATGTCATCAAGCTGTAAAAAAGACAGAGCTTCCTCGAGCTCAGGATTACAAGATTTGTATTGAAAAACGAAGTAGAAAACAGTTACCCTCAATACTTTTTAATTTAATTACTTACCACAGGCTACTTTTACGATCCAAATACTTGCACCATTTCTTATAGTTCTTGAAAAGCTTCTTCATAACTTCATCTAGAGAACGCTCATCCAACTAAAAGATTTTTAAAAAATGTGGGTCAATAAGTCTTCTCAAGGAAATGTATGTATCAGGTCTTGTAATAAGTGAAAATATGTGGAGTATATGTGATTTTCTGGAAAATAAAATCACAATGGGTGGTAAAACAAGTCAGCAGAACCAAAATAAACTTTTTTTAGTATCAGACTGCTCCTCAAAATCTTTAAAAAGATCAATGGCATCTACAGATATAGTAATGTAATTCAAACCTTAGGTTGTTGATCAGGCTTTGGAAACTGCCGTATGTGTACATTAGCAAGTAGCAAAATCAAATGTTCCCTTTGATTTGCTACATTATCTTTCTGCAAATTAATACAAGAGTTATCTCAAGTTATTTATAGTTTCATCATTTCATGAAAGGAAAAACAGTACCAAAACATATTTCACCTGAAAACCAAACATAGATTGAAGCCAGTCAAGGACATCTTCATCCTTTTTGTTTTTGTAATCCTTTGGCCATGGAAGACCTCTAGTGTTACGAAGCGCATGTACAACTGCTTGAATCTGAAATATTAGATGATGAAAATTAAAAGGTAAATCAGGAAATAAAAGATACGGAACAACAAAGATCGGAAACTAAAGTTGACAAGTCAAGTTCGGTGTGAGCCTCAGGGTATTTCATGATTGCCTGATTGGCACTATCGGGATCAAGAGGTAGAATGTTATAAGGGACATAGATCTCTGTCTTCTCTGCAACTTTATCGTGGGTTTCTAATACCTGAAACATACACCACGCACACACACACAAAAGAGAAAAAAGAAAAGAAAAACAAATAACAAGTTAATGTGCAAGATAACAAACATACAAGAAAAGGTACATGATTTTTTTAATCCACTGGAAAAACAACAGGTCTATCTACCTCACGATCAACTTCCACGGCTTGGGTCTGATTGACTGCTTTCAAAACCTCAAACAGAACATTAGCTGTTTGGTATGCTTTTGTGAGCTGTGCGCTGTACATTTTTGCAAGTCAAGTATTAAAGAAGGATTAACAGCTTTTAAAACTTTAAAAACGGATAAATAGCTGCTTCATATGTAGCTTTTGCAAGCTGAAAGCTGAGCTTTTCCAGAAATGTTGACATCTTCACTAAGAACATGCTATTTGGCCCAACCTTCAATCAAGAAAAGGAATTAGTTATGAAAAAATAGACTCACCGATCAGCTTTGTCTGCAGCATTTTGTAAAGCTTGGATATACTTTTTGTAGTAATGCTGATAAAAGCTCTGCATTTCTCGTGCATCACTTTTTTTCACTCTGCCCATTAAAGTAGGATCATTCTCCTGAAAGAATCAGCTATGCTATATGAAAGATCTGATTTCTTCAAACAAATCGCAGCAACTTTCGATTTAAATAGGATTGAAGGGCAAGGGAGTGGTTACTCTACATTTTTTTTTTGTTTGTCGGACTTTTCGAGACACAGAATCTTTAGAAGTTCTCTCCTAACAACTATTTTAACTAATTCGGCGTCTAGGACCTATCTGCAGTTACCATCAACTTCCGCTTCTTGACTACTTTTACCATATCGACTCCTATCGCATATTCTCACATGGTTACTCAAGCAAACAGGAAATGACATGTAATTCAGTAACTAGCCACTTACCCTTTCAAGACGTTGTAAAAGAGCTGTTTTAAATTGTCGAACACCACGTCCGCTCGAAGTGGGGTCCAGCCTATGCGCCTTTTCAAAAGCATAAAATCTACCTACATAATTTGAACCTTGGGAGATGAAAAAATTCTGACACATAATAAGTTACGACAATTGGCTAAAAAAGGGCTAAGAAAAGAAAAGAATCCATTCTAACAGACATCATGCAATGATATACATTGCAAAAACACATAATGCAATACTTCGCAGTCTGTTATCAAAAAAATAGCTGTAAAGAGAAAATAATTAAACTGAAACCAACAGCTCAAGCATGAAAACAAAATGCACACTTATGGAGAATTGATTGTTCCTTTTATTTCCTTTTTTCATGTAGCATGAAAATAAACATAGTTTAAATAATCGAAACTGCACAACATTATCCACTAATCAACAATCCTCATTATATCACCACCAGTTTCAATCCGAACTTAATAAAAATAAAGAAAAGATATGAAACTAAGGTTTGCCTCTCACACAAGATACATAAAATTCAAAAATTCATCCACACGCTTGGGTATGTGCACATTAACAATTATGTAAGTGCATTTAAAGCTCACAGAGATAGGCGACTCGGGGGTTGCTAGACTCCACTTCATTGGCAACACGAAGAATGGGCGCAATTTCCACCAAGGATGAGGGCACTACTTCACTATCAAAAATGGATTCCCCTAGATTCCCCACTGTTGGGCTGCGCGTAATCCTCCACTGCACAGGTGTACTCTGCTGCGATGACCCTCCCCTCGAAGAAGACATTCTTGCTTCCCCTTGCACAAGTATATATACGAACCGATATCTTTTTAGAGAAAAACGGGGGAACACTTGAGAAATGGTGAGTCTTGTTTATAACTGAAAGTTCACCATATTAAACAATCGAAAAAAGTAATTAACTTAAAAAATCGAGTAATAAAGAGGACCCAATAAAAATGGAGCACAATACAATGTAGCAACATTTGATAATTATTTCGAATATGATAAGATTTTTCGACTTTTTCCTTAAACCCATGGCCATAAGAATCTAGAGAAACCACGTCACATCTTTCAAGACACCCGAAAAATGTAAAGCGGATTGGGGGAGCAACACCATACCAGGGGACAAATTTTTTGCGAGATAACTACAAGAACCTCCGAAATGTTTTATTTCGAGGAGTGTTCGTCAAAACAATCTATCACTTACACAAGAAACAAAGATTAGACACTAATAAAAAAAGCGAAGAGAACATACAGATACCGAAAACAAACACCAGAAAGAAAGAAAAAAAGCACAAAAACAACAACAGTACTCGCACTGATTGCAAAGAAGAAGAAGAAGGCAAAAAGAAAAGCTATCAACTTTAAGATTTTCTTCTTCCGCAGAGAAAAAAGAAAACGAAAGGTACCCTTTTTAGTAAGACTTTCTTCCAGAGGCTGTGTAATTGACAAGGTAATAAAACACAAACGACTCCCAGCCCAGTTTAGCTATTTTCGGTGCTAATTTAGAAACATCATGAGTCTTTATTACAATGCATTATTCCCTGTCCAAAAAATTTTTTGAATACAAACTGACATAATTATTCTTCCTTAAACACGCGTTTACCAGAACCCAGAACAAAAAAAAAATAAAAAAAAAATAAAAAAAAAAATCTCATCTTTTATTCAGGCCAACTAAGAAATCAAATTTATGGCAAGAAAATATGATTCTGCATGTAAATTTGGAGAATAATAAATAAAAAAAAAAAGTAAAATTGGTTCGTTCAAGAACACAGGCTTAGAAATATCAAGAAAACAAAAAAAAATAAAATTCATGGGCACTGACAGTGAACACAGGAAACCCAAAAAGAATACGTAGAAGAGAATAAAAATCGAATAGAACGACGCGCCACGGCAACAGTGCAGCAAAAGGAAAAGAAAAGAGAGAGAAACCTGTAGTGTAGAGTTTTTATTTTTTCCTTCCCAAAAAAAACAAGATAGACACTCAGAGAATTCAAATGCACAACTGAGTGAAGAGAAAAAAAGGGCAGTGGGTATTTTGGGGGTGGTGCGGTGGTCGTAAGCTACTTTTGCGAGACATGGAGAGGGAATATTAATGGAAGGCAACGGTAAAGTTAAAAAAAAATTTGAAAAGAATAAAAAATAAAAAATTGGATTGAAGTGAGCCTTTGCATTTATGCCCCAATTATGCTTGAAATAACTAGGGGTGCACAACTTTCGGTGAAATGAGCCCAATCGATCGAAATAAAAAATTTGGTTGAACCAAACCTGAAATCGAATATTTAGTTTGGTTTTCGGTTTTTATTTTCTTAACATTCGGTTTTCAGTTCTGTTTGGGCAATAGTGATCGGTTAATCGAACAGAACCGAAAACTGATTTATACATATATATATATTATATTTACTTATGCAAACAAGTTATAAAAGTATCAATTTGCTTCAATGATTGATGATTTTCGAGCTTTAATGACCCCTAAAATGAATTGAGCATTGCTTTTCACACAAAATTTGTTTCGTCATAGTCCTAGTCATGAATTGGGTTCGAGATTTTGTTTAGAGGAGAATTCAAAATTTCTTGAGAGGATTAAACAATGTGATAAAAATCAATTTTTGGTTAAAAAAAAATCAAATTTTGGTTCGGTGTAAAATTCAGAATTTATTGAAAAAATTAATTATTTATTGCGATTAACCGATAACCAACCGAACCGACAACTCTATTTACGGTTAAAAGCTTAACCGAATCATAAGTTTCAGTTGAGTTTTCGGTTCTTATAATGGATAAATCAAATTTTCGGTTAACGAAAACTTTGATCGGCTTGGCGCCACCTGGCCGCCTCCAATTTGCAAGAATCAACATAAAACATCGGTCAAACAACTAGGTTGCGCCTAGGTGATCTCTGCAGACTCGACGACAAGATGGATGGGCGGCACCTAGGCAGACTCGGTGGCAATTCTTTAGTTTATTTTTATTTATGTTAAATAATATTTATATTATTTTGTTATCAACACTACAAGAAAACACTTCAATTCCAACGGAAAAATTTCCGTTGGAAATTCCAATGAATATTCCAACAAACTTAATTTTATGTTGGAAAAAGTGTTGGATGGTTGAGGAATTCCAACGGATTTTTTCCGTTGGAATAGCTGTAGGAATTTATTTCCATAGGATTTTCCGTTGGATTTTAGCTATTCCAACGGCCATTTTTCCTACGATTTTTTATACGTAGGAATATCCGTTGGAATACCTATTCCAACGGATATATAAAGAATTCCAACGGAAAATTTCCGTTGGAATGTAAGAGGTTTTTTTGTAGTGCAAGTTTCTTTATAATATACAAATATTATTATTTGGACATCGGGGTTTGATTTATTATAAGTTTAGATAGTTTTATTTTATTAGTAGTGAAAAAAAAGGTATTTAATATTAATTTGTAGGCCCCGCCAAGCGCTAGGCGCTGGTCGAGCGCATAAGGGCGTGATTGTTTATATTTTCTAAGTAAATATCTCACTCAAAACTCAAATTTAACTCAACTTCACTATCTCCAATATCATCAATATAATTATATAATATCAACCAGTAATTATTACATATCACATCAATTTTAATTCACTATTCATTCACTCACATAATTTTCTTCCAATCATTTTCCCACGACCCAGGACCGTTGTTTGGCTGAAACCCAAGTCCCCTTGGGTTAAGCTAAACACAGACGGCGCATTGGACAGACATACCGGAGCTGCTGGAGGAGGGGGCCTGATTAGGGATCATAGTGGGGCACTCATCTCTGCCTTCCATGGGCCACTCCGGGCCTCCTCGAGTTATGATGCAGAGATTCAGGCGCTCCAGATTGGTCTTGAGATTGTCGCCTCGATCTCCTCCCATATCTGGATAGAGATGGATGCTGCAGCTGTCATCATACTTTTAACATCTGGCCACCAGGGCTCATGGTCGATCCAACATCCCCTTATGCGCATCAGAGACACCCTCCGCTCGATCCATTACCAGGTCTTACACATATTCCGAGAGGGGAATCGTCCCGCTGATTTCCTTGCTAGCACGGGGGCATCTATACCTCAGAGACGCATCCTTTATCCTGATGACATTCCCCTCCGACTTCGGACGCTCATTCGGATGGACCAGCTAGAGTACCCATCCTTCAGATTCGGACGGCCGCCACCACCTGATCCTGACTAGACTTGTCGTTTTAGACTTCATGCCAGGTCACTTTGACCAGGACGACCTTTTATGAGGACTTGATTTTAGATCCACGTCGGATATTTTGTGATCCTTGTACTTTTTGATTTTCTGTTTTGATGATGATCTATGTATTTTCGACATTGATGTAGACCATTGACTTTTTAGCCCTCTCGGGGCCATTATATTCACAGGTCGGGGGTGTAGCCTCAACCCCCCATCTCACAATGGGATGTTTATATAAAAAAAACTTTAATTATTATAATTTAAATATTATTTTTAATATATCCACTAACAACTAACCATACTACTTTTTTTCAAACTTAACTATAGTTTAAAAAAACTAGTTTTTTACTAGTTGAATTCATATTCAATCACCTCCTACCTAATTCTAGAACATTGACCATGGGTGAAAGAAATTTTTGATTTCGAATGATTTTTCCATGTTCGGCATTTCAACGTAAGTTATTTTTTATCTCGAATGGTTTGTCCATGTTCATCGTTTCACCGTGAGTGTTTTTTTTTTTATCCCGAATGGTTTGGTAATGATAGGCATTTTACCGTGAGTGTTTTTTTTATCTCGAACGGTTTGACAATGTTGGGCGTTTCGTCGTGAGTGACATTTTAATGTCAAACGATTTGGCCATGTTCGGCATTTCACCGTGCGTAATATTGTTATCTAGAACAATTTGGTCATTTTTAGCGTTCTATTGTGAGTGATTTTTTGTATCTCAAACAGTTTGGTCGTGTTCGACATATCACTATGAAAGGTTTTTTATAAGTCTTCAAACAATAAAAATGTTATACTTCATTGGGCAATCTCGTTAGATCTCGAGAGTGGTTGTTTTTTGATCGGAATGCTTGATTCGTTCTTACACTAGGAGTAAAGTATTCGTTTGTGATCGACATCAAAGTAGTTTGTAAATTAATTCCAAGTGTGGACTGTGGGAAATGTCCAATCTGGTAACAAACATTTGAAAGCGGTCAGGTGATTGATAGGTCAGTTCTCTTGATGTAGAAATTGTCAAATTATGGATTGTCTCGACTATTACGGGAGTTAATTGAATCCATTTTTCAAATTTTTTGAGAGTACAAGATATGTTTTATGCTTTTCAATCTAAAATACCCACAAAAATTCATAAATGTTTGATTAGAGTTGGATACATAAATATACAAAGGAACATGACAATCAATGTTTTTATACTACTAACTATTCTTTTGGCAAAACATTTCTGTAAACTCTTTTCACGTCCCAGGTTCATGCTTTTGTGTTTTACTGATCGGGCCCCCGCTTGCTTCGTACATCTTAAATTGTATCGATGTTCGCCTGTGGGAATGATTCGATCAAATCTGCACAGGTCCAAGTTTCTTGAATGTGTCGATCTATCTTCTTTACATCATCTTTGCAGAGATCAAGTTTAATATTTCTTAATATGTAAAACGGTCGGGTGAGGCTTCTTAACGATTGTTGAAAAGAGAGAGATGCCTTGAAATGTTGACTGACCCTAATGATTGACCTTGACCGAGAAGTTGCAGTTACTCATGTAGATATTTCTGTTCGGGCACCCAGAATCTTATTTACGACCCAGATT